CGTGAAATTAGTTGTGTTTTTGACATTGTTTAATATTATTGATGTAATTTTAAATAATTTGAAAATATGGTTCAAATAATAATCTAAAGTTTTTCACGTTTTGATAATTCTGTTGACAAAAAATAGTACAAAAACAAATAATACATATTAATGTTAATATATATTTTTATATAAAAAGTTGCATTATCGTTTTTGAATATACAAAAATGAATGAATCGCTATAAGTTTTGTTTAATTTTTACTTTTATTTTTTGAATAATTTTAATATTCAAAAAATTATTAAAATAAAATGACAATAATATCATTGATAAAAGACTTGTATTTTCACAAATATTAAACTGGTTTTGGAAAAGCTAATATAAAAATAAATTCAAGAAACCTTTAATAGCATTATTAAGTATTATAAATTATGATGTCAAATCATTCTTTTTATAATTTCAAAAAATAAAATTTATAACTGTATATGTTTGTATTTTGCTTTTTATTATTTATATTATTTAAAATATCAAAAATAGTAATTAATTATTATAAAAATTCAATCAAACAATTCTAAAAATTGACCATTTTAAACATTGGTTTGTTGTGCATGTCTAAACACCTTTAATGATACATTCTCAAATTTGTATTACGTCTTTTAGCATAACAGTTTATAGTGAATTGTATAAAATATCATCTTATATTAATTTAAACAAACATTCAAATAAATTCTATTTTTTAACATTCTGATATCTATATAAAGTAAAACTTCTCAAGAATGGGAAAGTGTGGTATACTTGTTCTCTCAAGAGCAGGCATTTTTAGCCAATCAAACCTTAAAAACCTCTCGATAAAGAACTATATTTTTAGTTTCAATCTTAAAATGCCCTTTCTTGAAAGAACCCACTTATCAGAGGTACCGCTCTTGGGAGGTTTTACTGTATTAAAAATAATATTTAATTGATTATTTTGGTAAAAAAGGTAACATTATAATTAAAATTGTTTAATATTTAAATGGTAGCATTTTAACAAAAACTATGTTATTTTAAACAATAAATGTAGAAACAACTTGGTTACACAATAAAAACAAAGAAGTTTGTTTGCATTTTAAATGTTACAATAATGACATTACACGTATTATTTTAAATTAAACATAATAAAAAAATTTCAAACAATAAATAATAAATAATCAAATTTAATAATTATTTAGATAAATCATTATTATTACATTGTTGAAATTAAAAATAATTTAAATAGACATTCATTTTTTAGTTTTAAATTTGATTGTAAATATCAATGAAATGTGAACGTTTTTATTATGTTAAGCTAGTAATTCTGATTAATTTTCTTTAAACCCATAACAATTATATAAACAACTATTTTTTATTTAATAAATTTTAACTATTATCAATTAAATAACTTCGTGTTAATTTGATTTGTATTATTATAATATAATTTACAGAATCAGCCTGTAACAGTTATCATGTGAACATATTATGTTTTTGATTTCGTGTAAACGACAGATGTTTGTTTAACAAAGAAATTAATCAACTTGTGATTTTAAAGAATTGTTTTTAATATAATCGATATCTTATGTTCCAAAAAATTAGCTCACACTTTAAATAAAAAAAGTGAAAACAACAACCGTTTAAATAAATACATAGTAATAATAATTCAATGGAGGATAACTGCTTAATATCAACAATCCGACAAAAATAAGCTTATACTTGTTTAAAATAAGTTGAAATAATCTTTTTTGTTTGTAAACACAAAACAGTTACTTATGTGTAAGTTAACATGATATTTGAATAAGATATTTATTTGGGATTATAATAAGTAATTTAAATATTATTATAAATTAAAATTCATTAATTTGTATTTATTTATAAACATTATTGACTATGTGAAGTCATTGAAATATATTACTTTAAATAATCAATTGACAATCATTTTATATTTGTTTCGTTTTAAATATACAAAATATACAATTTTTTCAAATTAAAAAAGTGCATCTTCTACTTTATTGTGCAAAAATTCTAAATATATATATTTTATTAAAAAGTGTTGAATTAGATTTAAATAACAATATAAATATTTAAATTACATATTATATTTTTGTTTAACCTCTTATATATTGAAAATAATTGTATATAATTAAATGTTCATTCTATATTTATTTAATTGTTGGACTTTTACAGTTGAATTTTTTGGGCTCTTGATTATATTATTTTAAACTGTTTAAACAACAAAGATGTCAATATACAAACACAATTTTAAACGTATTAATTTAAAAATAAATGTATTACAATAAATATAACTCTCGATTTGTTTTTCTGTTAAATAGAACAAGTTTATAATAAACAAATTTTTGGTCATTGAATATAATTTGTGAAATTTTATAACAATTTGTTTTAATTAAAATAATCACAAAACGGATATAATTTAAATGTTTAATAACACCAATATCAACATTGTTATTGAAAACTTTTGTTGATACGGGTTGGATAAAAAACACTTCTGTATTAATACAACTTTATACTGTTCTAATAGTTATTAATATTAAAACAAAGGAAGTTTAATACTTATTACCCCTTCGAACAAAAAGTATCAATGGGTATATCAGCATTCATAGTTACAGTACAGTACATTTATTATATATATATTGAATCAGAAATCAGTCGAGTATTGAAAATGGATATG